GTTTCGCTGAAGAACGTGTTGAATGAGTCATCCCCGCCGCCAATGGTTTTGTCACTTGGCATCTGACCATCGGGCTGAATTCCATGTTCAAGGCAGTACAGTTCCCAGCAGGCATTGCCGATCTGGACACCTGCCTGCCCCACGTGGATAGAGATACACTCGCGCTGGGAACCAGAACATAAACATGAAATCTTCCTCTTCAAGGTAATTCAAACTATATATAAAATGTAAATGAGACTTCTGTTATAAATTAACCCTTTTAATATATTTTGGTGTAATTTGTTTTTGGACATAATATCCCATGAGTTCCATAATCATTCTATATCAGAACACCTGCGTTTCCAACTGTAATACAGATAAATTTGAATCAATGAATCAGAATAGTTATTATAAGTTCTTCTTCTAATAAATTGTTTAAAGTGAACATATAATAATCTGTCAAATACTGGGCATGGTTGTGCACACCTATAATACCAGAGTTTCCAGAAGCTGAGACAGGAGGATTAAGAGTTCAAAGGCAGTCTCAGCAAAAGCGAGGCACTAAGCAACACAGTGAGACCCTGTCTCTAAATAAAATACAAAATAGGGCTGGGGATGTCACTCAGTGGTCAAGTGCCTCTGAGTTCATTCCCTGGTACCAAAAAATAGTAGTAGTAGTAGTAGAATTATAATAATCTGACAGGTAATTCTGCTTCTACGTAAGGATTGAATTTACTATTGTGTCTGAATCAAGGACTCAGGAAAATAGAGAAGATATATACAATAATTGTTTTCAGTCATTGGACAATAGCTGGCACAAGATGCAAGTTCCCTAGAGCAGCTTTATAATCACCCCATACTGCCTGGTGAACACCAGGGTGTGGGACAGAAGGCCAAACAACCCAGGCATCCCCTGGTTTGATGAGAGAGAATTCATTGCTCAGTGAGGCAAAAAAGCTAGAAACCACGGAGCAGAGCAGAGAAGGAATAGATGTGCAGAAAGAATTTTGTACAAATAAGCAGAATTCAAGGAAGTCTGTAGTTGAGTACAGTATATTAGGTATAAGCCAATGCCAGGGAAGGGCAGGCAGAGCAATCCCTGGAACTCACACAGGGCTGGGAATAGTTTGTGTTCCCACCAATTGTGGTGGAAAGACTTCTTGATTCACAGAGTAATAAATGGAGTCCTCATAAGTAGGGCCAAGCGAGGCCTAAACTAAAGGCTGATCTGAATCTACAAAAGAAAATGTAGGGCTGGGGTTTCAGCCTAATAGTGGAGTGCTCACCTAGCATGTGTGAGGCCCTGGTTTCGATCCTCAGCACCACATAAAAATAAATAAATAAAATAAAGGTATTGTGTCCAACTACAACTAAAAAATATTTTTTAAAAAGTGTAAAAGCAACCTCAAAAGGAAATATTTCTTGGAACTGCAAATTGATCAACTACTCTGGAAAGCAGTGTGTAGATTCCTCAAAAAAAACTTGGAATGGAACCACCATTTGACCCAGTTATTCCACTCCTCGGTATATACCCAAAGGACTTAAAATCCACATACTACAGTGATGCAGCCACATTAATGTTTATAGCAGTCAATTTACAATAGCTAAAGTACAGAACCAACCAGGTGCACTTCAATAGATGAATGTATAAAGAAAATGTGGGAGCTGGGCCTGTAGCTCAGTGGTAGAGTGCCTCACATGTGTGAGGCGCTGGGTTCAATCCTCAACACCATATAAAAATAAATAAATATAAAGATATTGTATCCATCTACAAATAAAAAAATATTTTTTAAAAAAGAAAATGTGGGCGATATTACCAAAAGTTCTCTATAAGTTCAATGCAATGCCAATCAAAATCCCAGCTGCATTTCTTGTAGAAATAGATAAAAGAATCATGAAATTCATATGGAATAATAAAAGACCCAGAATAGCAAAAACAATACTA